AAGTCGCCGAGATCCCGAATTTTACTGCAAGTTCTTGCAGTTTTGCTTTCTCCTTGCCTCCGTAGTTGATCTGCACAAGCTTGGAGACAGACACAATGTGTTCTTGAAAATCGACAAAGCGCTTTCCTAGGGGTCGTTTGAAGCTCTGGATCCACTTGTCGACGTCACCCTCTCCTGATCCCTTTAGTCGGGCTTTGTGATCATTCAGGGCTTCGGCAGGAACACTGTCGATCTTACGCTTGAGGTCACTCTCCCAAGTCTGCGGTGGTGTCACGGATTGTGGACACGGAGCACTAGATTGCGAGGCAACCGGGAGCTGTGTTTGCAAAGCGGGTTTCGTGGGGGTAACGGGAAGTCCTGCGGCTTGTAACTGTTCACGGCGGCGATTGAGCTCTTCCGTAACTTGAAGAAACTTCTGAGATTGATCGACGCCTGCAGACACCGGCATGTTGTCAAACATGAGCTGAACGATCTTGTCAACCATCGGCTGAAACAGAGCTGCACAATCCGTGTTCTTGTTGGGAATGATTGTAGATGGATTAGCAGCCTGAAAAAGATGCGTAGCAGCTGCATCGATGTCAACTTTGCGATCTCGGAGGTTCTTCATCACTTGCGACATGAACACTGCTTCGGCAACCGTAGCAACTGGTACAACACTGAAAAACTTGCCATGACTCAATGCTCGAAGACGCCAATCTGAGACTCCATGAAACAGGAATTCCTGAACAGGAATGCTGAGTGGGTCTTTTCCTGCGATCCCTTTCTTCCGCGACCACGGGGTGGCTTCGATGGACTTACGAAAGGACAACCCATGAAGCACCGTTGAATCATAATGATCACGATCTGACGCCCATCCATTCGGTAGTGCAGGAACAAGACCAGGACCTTGATGACATGGCATGGGAGTAGACGGCGAAGATGAAGGTGCCGAAGAAAGAGGAGGCGGAGGTAGTGGAGGTGGCTGACTAGCAGGTGCAGACTTGGAGAGGTTGGGATCAGTCCAACTTCCCGAGCTATACGGCTGATAGCGGTGCTGACCCCACGATTGCTGGGACCTCCCGTACCCTGTGCTGTTGTCCCACTGCCCATTCCATGCCATGGTTTCAGATCTATCAACAAATCTGAATACGCGGAATCACTAACGACACTTCGAATCAAAAGGCTCCGTAGGCAAACAAGTCTGCTCAAGTTGCTGCCGAACTGCTACACTTGCACATCGCTTGCACAACTCTTGCATCACACTTGCTCTTCTCACTTGCAGTACACTTGCACGTCCCTTGCAATACACTTGCACCTCCCTTGCTGGCACAGCTCGCAATCTTAACTGGCAGGTTTTCGTCACATGTAAACGTGCAAAGCAGGTGACAACGGAAGAGACTTGAAGACGTGGCCGGTCAAAGCAGCATGTTGCACTCAGACCCTCCAAAAAACAAGAAGCGCTTCCGGGATGAAACATGAAGAGCGAAAGACCCATCTGCCATCTTTGGCACGGGCAACATCACGGATGTAGCTGCAGGAATGGTCACCTTCGACCCCTCCCATGGGGATTCTTGAATGGGGAGGTGTGAGGGATCCTTGACGATTGAATGCATGTCCGAAAATGCACACCGGACGCTCACTCAGAATGCCACCGTACTTGGCCGCTGCCTCTTGTGCTTGATCTGCATCTGAAGTGTGAGCCCTAGCATAGAAGGAAATTGGTGGGGACCACTTGCTGTCACTAGCATCCCACCACGAGGTCGGATCGCTCCCTCAAGAAGGATTGATGCAGCCGCTGCCACTGTTGTGTTGTGTGCAACAGGAGAACGAGCAATCCCTGCTGCAGAAGCATGCGACCTGATCATGGTCCTCTCAAAGTGGGTGAAGTGGATGCTCAAGCACTTGCACGAACTCGACAAAGAACGAAGCTCCACAGAATGAATGTTTGCGGCTTGGTCAGCTGCTGCAATTGCCTGAGAAACATACTTCAATGCTGTCGAATTGACAGCGTGGGGAGGAAGACCTAACAGGCTGATCAGATAGTCCGCCGTGCTTTGCATCAAAGAGCTGGGAACCTGCAACTCAAGATTGGCCGGTATCTTTGCCGAAATCTCACATGCCGATTTCATACGGCCAGGGCTGGAACTGATCAAGTGACGTAGAGCAGTAAACATGGGGTATAATGCGACCCAATTGAAGCTAGATGAATACACGCGTATCAGCTTCGCTTCTTCATCGCGCACTTCCAACCCACGAAGTTCAGGAATCACGAAGAAGTTTGAATCTTGCTCCCACTCAACTTCCACATGCCCTTTGAGAAGAGATCGATTCTCAAAATGCTCATACGAGTCTTGCAAAGGTCTAACTCGAAAGACGTAAGTCTGGTCCGCACTGAGCTGCCACCCTACGCGATCTGCATGAGTACCAGGAATCTGATCACAAATTGCACGAAGTCGAATGCTGTTAGGATCTGCAACGAGAGAAACTTCACTTCCAGGAACTTGCCGAAGTCGCTTTGTTGGCTGGGCTGAATCATCCGTTTGATACGTGATGGCTGACTGCTGGCTCTGAACAGATGCTGTTGACTGATTCCGTTGAGAAACAACAGACTGCTGAATGTCAAGCAAATTGTTGAGGCCAGCATACACATCTCTGTGGCCTCGGACATGTGTCAAGTTTGCTGCCATGATCGCTGAGTATTCAGCGAAATCAGCCACCGAACGAAACGACAACCGGAAACCTGTGCCGTCTGCATGAAGAGTGATCGCAGGGGGAACCTCTTGCTGCGGAATCTGCCGATCATTTACATCACGTGCAGCAATCAAAGTAGGAGTTACATCTGTAGCTCTCGCTCCAACATCGGATGCAGAAGGGACCGGCAAAGAAGAAGAAGAGGCAGGCGCTGGGCAAACTGCAAGAGTGGGGGGTGGCGGGGGGAAGGCGGGAGGGGGAAGGGGAGGGGGGGGTGGAATCCACTTCGCTGTGGTGCCACGGGCGGGGGCAGGGGCGGAAGCGGGAGGGGGAGGCACAGGGAGATGGGGGAAGGGGGAGGATGGAGGGGGGGGAGGAGGTGGGGGAGGAGGGGGGGGGTTGATGTGCGGGCACTGCGTCTCTTTCCTGAAGAATCCATGGCAAACTGATCAGCAACTACTCAGAAGTACAGCTCAGATACTCGATTTGTAGCCAAAGACCTGCGACAAGTCAGCGAAAAAGTCAGATTCGGGAAAGTCGATTTGATCATAGACAGTCAATGAGAAAGTCAGCATTCAGGTTTCGGTAGAAGCATTCGGTGAAGACTCATTGAGAAAGTCAGCTTGCAAGCACGGAT